TACTAAAAGAAAGTCTATACGCGTATAAATATCATGTGTGGGGGAATAATATGTAATATTGTCTATCACCAGGATTTAATGTACGCCATATATCACCCAATTGGTAATGCTCTAAGATATTACTAAGTTCAGTCGGGTTGTGATTTTTCCTCCTAGTTCCTGGAGTCTTGTGTGTCTTACAAATTTTTGGGTCTACTATTAAATTCAAGTCACATCCTACAATCACCTTGCCTATTTGGAATTCAGATAGTTGTTCAAGGGTGTCTTTAATGAATGATTGCTGGTCTGAGTTAAAGGCATACAGCGAGGCTACAGTTACAGGAGAGCCATCCAACATTCCCCTCACAAATATATACCTTCCTCTGGGATCCACTTTTTCCTGCTGGCTTTGAAATGGGACAGTTTTCAGATGTTCTTCTGCTTGTAATTTCTTACGGCATCAGCTCGACGTTAAAACCACGGCCCAGGGCTCTACAGCAGCAGCAACCCCTAATTGAATGCCTGGTGGAAGAGCTCCATCTTGCAGACGCTGTGGAACTGTGAAAGGTCCCGCAGGGCCCTGATCTCCTCCGGGAGCTCGTTCCACCAGGTAGGGACCACCACTGAAAAGGCCCCAGCCCTGGTAGTAGCTAGCCTGGCCTCCCTCAGGCCAGGGAGGGTCAACTGATTTTGAGACTCATGTTTTTTTAAAGAGAGGACAGACCATTGCTTCCTTGAGTGCCCCTGGGAACAGTCCCTCAGAGAAGGACTTGTTAATAATCTCCCTAAGGGCACCTCAAAACCCCTCATGACCAGCTTTAATTAGCCATGAAGGGCACGGGTCAAGGCTGCATGTGGTTGGGCGTACCGTCAAGAGCAATCTGTCAACTTCCTCTAGAGTGAGTGGACTAAAATAATCCAATATCGGACTAGAAGACGTGCATGAAGCCTCAAGTTTACTCACTGTCACAACTGTATTGGGGAAGATCACAGCGGAGTGACAAGACCTTATCTGAGAAATGGCTTGCAAAAGCCCCACAGCCAATGTCCAATTCCCTAGCGTTTGGTCTGCCCTGTGGCAAGACTGTCAAAGACCAAATAGTTCTAAACAATTGGGCTGGGCATGAGCTCAAAAATGCAATTGTGGCCACATAAAACTCTCTCTTCACGGCTTTGACTGCCATCTCATAGGATAAATGTCCTGTAAGATGTTCTTGTGACTTTGTCATGAGTACGCCGCCATTGTCTCTCTAGCTGTCTTAGCCTCTGCTTCATCAGCCACAACTCCTGGGTATACCAGGGAGCTAGCCTAAAGCGAGGGCACAGAGGGCATCAGGGAGCGATCTCGTCAATGGCTGCTGAGAGTTGGCTGTGCCAGTCCTCTACAAGCTCATCCAACGAGATGCCTGGGGGCATCAGATCCCACAGAGCCATCTAAAGCCGCATAGGGTCAATTTGGCTCCACAGGTGAGCTAAAATACGCTCGCCCCCCCAAACGGGGTTGGGGTGAAACATTCAGATGAGCCTTCAGGGCATGGCAGTCCGACCATGGCACTGCCATAGCAGTGATATGGTTACTCTGTAACCCCCACCGCGAAGATCAGATCAAGCGTGTGCCCAGCCCGGTGAGTGGGAACCATTACATATTGGGAGAGTCCCAGCACCGCCATGGACACCAGGTCCGCTGCCTGTTTGGAGGCTGCATCATCTGCATGGACACTGAAGTCACCCAAGACTATCAGTTTGGGGTGCTCCAATCCCCAGCTTGACACCGCCTCTATCGGCGACAGCAGGCTAGTGGCCAGTGCGTTGGGCGGACGATACACCACTCAGATAGGCGAACTCTTCCTGGCTTCCCACACTAGGCCAGCACACTCGATGCCTGTGAGCTTTGGCGGTAGGAGCGCCTTGAAGGAGTAAGTCTCCCAAATGAACAGGGCCACACTGCCCCCCCACCCCCTAATCCACAATTGGTGAAGGACTGAATACCCAGGTGGAGCCAACTGGGGGAGAGCTACTGTCTCCCCATCTCAAACCCAGGTTTCGGTCATGCATACCAGGTCTACATGGTGCTCACGCAAAAAGTCCTGAAGGACTATGGTTTTACTATTGATAGACCAGGCATTACACAACACTAATGACGGGGGGGGGGGCAATAAAATAATTCAGCCAAGGGTTATCTAATCACCCTCTTTAAAACAAAGATAAAGATGAATTTTTAAACTGATTATTATTCATTATTCTTTTTTGTTGTTGTTGTTCAGTTGCACAGTCGAGTCTGACTCTTTGCGACCCCATGGACCAGGTCACGCCATAAAATATTATATAAAAAAAAGCCAGTCATAAAATATTCTAATTATGAAGAATTTATTATCGAAACAGTTATAATCACTTAGCACTTTACAGGTCTTAGCCCTTAAAATGAACTCGATTTTAATTATCTAACAGTTGCATTATAATATAGTAATAGTCATAACAATAAGAACAAAAGAACACAAGAGAAGCCAATGTTGGATCAGGCCAATGGCCCATCCAGTCCAGCACTCTGTGTCACACAGTGGCCAAAAATACCAGGTGCCCTCAGGAGGTCCAGCAGTAGGGCCAGGACACTAGAAGCCCCTCCCACTGTTCCCTCCCACCAAAAACACAGAACATCACTTGCCCCAGACCGAGAATTCCTATCTATACCTTGTGGCTAATAGGCACTGATGGACGTCTGCTTTATATTTATTTTTTCCATTTATTTTTCCGATTTATACCCCACTCTCCCCGCCACCTTCCTCTTGAAGCCATCCATGCTTGTATCTGTCACCACCTCCTGTGGCAGTGAACTCCATGTGTTGGGTGAAGAAGTACTTCTTTTATCTGTTCTATCCTGACCGCTCAGCGATTTCATGGAGTGCCACGAGTTCTTGTATGGTGAGAAAGGGAGAAAAATACCTCTTTCTCTACCTGCTCTATCCCATGCATAATCTTGTAAACCTTGATCATGTCACCCCTCAGCTGTCGTTTCTCCAAGCTAAAGAGCCCCAAGCGCTTTAAGCTTTCTTCATAGGGAAAGTGTTCTAACCCTTTGATCATTCTAGTTGCCATTTTCTGCACTTTTTCCAGTGCTATAATATCCTATTTGAGGTGTGGTGACCAGAACTGTACTCCAAATGAGGACGTACCATTGATTTATACAGGGGCATGATGATACTGGCTGATTTGTTGTCAATTCCCTTCCTACTAATCCCCAGCATAGCATTGGCCTTTTTTTTGAAGATTTTTTTGCACTACATAGAACTACAATTACTACCCACTACCCTAAAACATGGAGTGAGTAGCAGTCACCATCCTGAAACGGATGGCCAGACTGAGCGGACTAATCAAGTTTTAACTCGGTCCACAGCTCTATTGGGATGAGTCCTTTCAAAGCAGTTCACAGGTATGAAGGAGGCCCTCTCCCTCTGGTTGATTTAGGCCAACCGCTCGCCAGTGATGCTCAACTGTGGTGGTCTAATGTTACAAAGAATTGGGAGGTACTCCATAAGACTTTAGAAAAGGCCAAGAAGGACTATAAAAATATGATGATGTCCCGAATGGAGTCTTGCTCCTGGTGACTCTGTGTATCTTTCTATAAAAGGATTACAAGCTCGGCGGAAATTGGGGTGGAAGTATGTAGGGCCCTTTAAGGTTGTACGTGTTATCAACAAGGTGGCTGTTGAACATGACCTCCCTAAATCCCTACGTTCTTTGCATCTTGTGTTCCATTATAGGTTATTGAAACGGGACCCAGGACCCTCGCCCTGGGCATGCAATCCTCCAGCTCCACCTCCTCTTCCAATCGATGGGGAACTCCACCATGTAATTGAAGAGGTTTTGGATTCCAGGTTGTTTCATGGACAGTGACAGTACCTGATTAAGTGGAAACATTTTGGTCCTGAGGAAAATGAATGGGTTACTTCCAAGCATGTTAGGGCCCCCACCCTTCTTCGATGGTTTCACAAACGGTATCCTGACGAGCCGGGGGGAGGGTGAGCTTGAGGGGGGTGTTATGTCAGGTTCGGACCCTTGACCTGGGGATTGAATGTCCTTGTACCATGATCAATAACTGTATCTTGCTGCCCTGCGTTGCTAAAGGCCACTTTTGCTTTTGTAACCCCTGCCCCGTTGCTCATCTGCTGGCTTCGCTTAAGGCCTTATCGGTCCTCCCTGACATTCCTAAGGGTGTGTGTGTGAGTGTGAGAATGAATGTACGGTGTTGAGTAGAGGCGCCGCTTGTAACTTTCCCGAAGCTACCCCCACATGGTTCACAGGTCCAGCTGTGGCCTTGGGAGTCAGGAGTCCTGAGAAGCAGTTAGTTGGGTCGTATATCCTCTCATGACCTGTAGTAGCCTGAATGGGTGTGACATATGTCTGATGGGTGGAACCCGTTCCCCACTTTCCTCCCCTGGGCTATTGATCGCTAGTTCTGGCAAAGGTGTTCACCTGACCAGAAGCCATATCTTACCAATAAACTTGATCAAGGACTATTGTGTACAGAGTGGTTACTCCAGGACCTGACACTATGTCCCTTTAATTAGCCACGCCTCTATATTACTATGCAAGGTTAAGGAGAGAATGAACATGCTTTCACTTCTGAGGAAGCCTTGAGCTCATTAAGAGAGACCTTTTGCAGCGTTCGTTGGTGAAATTCGGATAAATATTTTGGGTACGAACTTTTCACTTTCTTGAGACTCTGTTCACCATGAGACTGCTAGTATTGTAACCTATTCTGTTTTTGATACCTTTTATGTTAGTATTTGGCAACTGAGCACTAATTCAAAATAGACTTAAAGGAGTCCTCCCTTTTGAAACTTTTGTACAATTGAGGACTGGCATTAATAAAGGGGTTGTGCAATATCTTTTGTGATATATTAAGATAAAATACTTAGATGTTTGGATATATGATTATTTCTGTCTACATGATAATTAATATAACTGAATAATTTGTAAGAAATATAGAAAAATAATATATATATAAAAAAGGAAACAATTACTTGAGATACTTTGTAATCATCTGTAGCATGGTAATTTGCTGGCTCTTTGTCAGAGCATGGCTTCTGCCTCGGGTCTGCTGCCGCTGCTGCCGCCGCCGCCCCTGCATGCCTGGAGGCCAGGGCTGCTGGTCTGCATCCGGGTCGGGTGCTTGGGGTGGATGCACATCTGGCATCTCAGGCACAAGGCTCCCCTCGGCCACAGTGTGCACCCCACAGTCCAGCATAGGGCACTTTGCTTAGGACCCCAGCTCTGTCCATGGCCCCGGCACGCGTTCCTCGCAGTCCTGTTAAAAGAGTCTTTAATGATGCCTTCCGCAGTGGCTGCATGGCAACAGTAGGTCTAGTGCCCTGGCTGCCTCTTCCTGCTACTAGACTTGCAGAGGCTTAACTCTCTGGACCTCCTCTTTCTTTTTATGGATCCTTTGTGGCAGTGACTCTCGCACTGTCTCATTCACCCCACTGTCTTACTTCCAGCCACACTGAGCAGCAGTTGTGATTCTGGGTTGTGGAAGTTGTCCAGACTGTATCTACAAGCCTGCTCAAACTCCTACAGAAAAGAAGTGGGAGATTCCATCATTAGACATGTAGAGATTTGGGTTTGAGACAGGTGTCTGGACTGTGCGGTAAATTGCCTGCCTGCTTAAACTCCTACAGGAAAGTATTCTGGATACACAATCTCCAGATGATAACACCCATGGGACTGAATGAAGACGTGGACTGGATCTGCCGTTTTTGAATGAGTGGCGGTGTGCCTGCTGCTCTTTGACAGCGCTGCCCCGCAGGCCCCTCCCCCTCTTTCCTCTCCCCCTCCTGCTTCTGTGAGCTGTGTTATGCAACACCTGGGGGTTACTCCTGCAGCACCCTTTAGCTCCAGCATATCACTAATTATCACATGACAAATGGGCCACTTTATCACAACTTTTGGTTGATGACACACACATCCAGAGGCATTGGAAATTTTATAATAGGCTGGTGTGCAAATCTATTTATATACCCGATTGATTTTAAATCTAGCAATTTTTAGACTTAAATATTTATATATCTATACATTTTAGCATATATATATATATATAAACAAACATGTTTTTTAGATTGTAATAACGCTGAAGGTTTTGTTGTGAGTGCAGTCACCATGAGAAGGGATCCATGGCCTGCTTTATAATTTTTCAGCAACTGCACAATGTAAGAGGTAGAAATGTTTTTTATTTAGTGCAGACTTTTAGAACAATTTCGGATTTTTTGTTGCACGTTCAGAAAGCAACACCTGGTCTGGAATAATATATTTACTTCTGAATGTGTGCCTTTTGGAAAGAGCATATATTATTGATCATCGATGAAGGCCCTAGAGGCTGAAACGCATCTGGTCTTGTTGTTCATTTGATCTATTCATCAACTGCGTATGCGATATCATCAGCTCTGTATGTGAAATTATTATAGTTTATGTAAAGCACATGTTGGAAGTTCTATGTAGCCTGATATTCAGACTTTGTTTTTAATCTCTGCCATTGTGTACACCACATATTTTGATATTTCATTTGAGGTCACTTGACCCTGGCAGCATGATTGGTGATTTCGGGTCACCCTTTTCCGTCAATGGATGATGCTTACAGATGGGTGCAGAGTACTCCTGCAGGACTCAAGAGATCACTCCAGCCGGAAGCCCTCGTGCTTGAAGCCCTTTAGGACTAGCTTAAGATCTGGGTGAACTGCTACAGTAGTGCTGAGAAGGCCTAAGTTGCTACAGGGTTCCTTCCTCAGCCTTTTAGTCTAAACTATATATTAAATATAAGAGTGTTTATCTCACTCGGCCTCTTCTCTTTATAGATGCTTTGTCCCCGTGATGCTCCGCTGGTGGGGCTCCAGACCAGAGTTTGAATAAAGCTGGAGGGCCGCACACACGCACACACGCACGCACACACACGGGGGCCCTGCTGACTGGAACCCCCCCCCCCCGGTGTCAACCAAGGCCCCAGGAAGGGCCATTCCCTTTGGAAAGCACAAGGCAGCCCCTCGCCAGCCTCCCCAACCCCACGATGGCTACCAGAGTTACGCACAACAGTAACAGCTGTTGGTCCTGAATCCTCCCGTGAACGTCTTGGCAGAGGGAGGCTTTGCACCCAGCTCCCCTCCACTCTCTGCCAACTCCCTCCTTCCTCGTGGGCTCTCTGCCTGCTGCCCAGACTGGCAAATGTCAGGAAACGGCACCCTCCTGCCATTCACACAGAGGCAGAGGCGGCCAAACTCCAGGCACGGCCAGCAGCTACAAAGGGCAAAGGAAGGTTGCTGCGGGTGGCACAGGGGCCAGGGAGATTGTGACCAAGGCAGTGCTGCGGCGTAGACGGGAGCCCCTGGAACACCTGCCATTTAAACTACTCTGTGGGAAAGTATCACAGGGTGCCCCACTATGCTAAGCCAAAGCAGAATGTCCTGGGCCCGTCCGAGGTGCACCCTGCTCACATCAGTCAGCTGCTGCTGGCACCCTTCCTCAACTGAGAAACACTCCTCTCTTTTGTCAGTCAAAACCAGTTAGCAGACTAAGAAGCCGAGCCAATGGCAATGCTGCCCATGGGTGTGTGTGTGCGCCGCCCCCCCCCCCGAGAAGGTGGCGTGCCTCTTTGCACCCAGGATTCCGTTCCCGGCCATAAGGTCCTCCCCCTGAGGCCCACTGATCCGTGCCAGGGAAGGGCCAGTCTGTGACTAAAGGCTTCTGCTCGCACTGGACCTGGAAGGCGAGTGCCCAGAGAGAGGTGGACTACAAAAATGATCCCGGTTTAAGTCTAGCCTTGGATTCCTGAACTGCCGAGTTCCCAACTACGCTGGCTGCAACAATGAGACCCCTCCTACAGCTCCCTTCCCGTCCACCATGCCTTCACTTGGTACCGAACACCGTGGGTGGACAAATACTGGCACTGGGGACCTGAAGGCCTGGGGTCCAAGTCAGGTATGAAGCTCCAGTCCCAAACCTGACAAAAGTGGACTCTTGTCCACAAAAGCTGCTTCTGGAACAGGTGCCACAAGACTCGTGTTGATTTCCACTTCACAGGGTTGCCTTGCCATGATGTTAAAATGGGATCACCCTCCCCCTACCTACAGCCCTCCATTCTAGACAAGCATCCCTGCGTGCCCCCAGGAAGGAGGGCCCTCAGGTGCCCCCGAGGAGAGCGAAAAGGCCCTCTGGAGACACCCACGGAGCAGCTCCTTCGGAGACGCCGCAGCACGAGAGCCAGTCTGCAGGGAAGCAAATTCTGTACTCTAGAGAGGAGGGGGTGAATTATGATTTATTTTTCTCATTTTGCACACTTTATTTCACAGCTGTTGTACTAGTAGTTTTAATGGTGCATCATTTTATACTGAATTTTTTGCTCGTCATGAGAAACTCAAGCCTGGCTCCCAGCCGCGATCAATAACTGCCTTTTCTTTGGAGGGTTAGGATTCGCCTGGCATTTGCACGCACCCTTCCTCTGCCGTTACCAAGGGGAAGAGAGAGGTGCTCGGGGAGCTGAAGGGGGGGCCCTCGGGGCCACCTCGCCCGGCCCCCTTCCCCGCAGAGCCCCAGCAGGCGCCGCTTCCCCCCCCCCAGAGGCGGCCTCTGTTCCGGCAGAGCAGCCCCTCCTCAGCAGCCGGCCCCCTTCTCGTGCCAGAAGCGCAGAGGTCTGAAAGACTGCCCGTTTCCCAAGGACCCAAGCCCAATAAATTAAGACTTACTCCACAAGTTGCCACAAACAAACTAAACAGTGGTAACAAAAGATTAAACATTCACTTTTTTTATTAAGAAAGCATGCACAAAAATAAATTTGTGAGGCCACCACATCTCTCGCTCGTCTCTCTCCTTGACATAAAGCACTGTGGGTGGCCCGGCGAGAGGTGGGCAGGTGAGGGGTCCCTCTCCCGGAGGCAGGCGGGCACGGCGGGCCTCACTCGGGGTCTTGGACAGGCTGTGCCGGCCGCTCACAGTGCTGAGTCCACGGCTGCGCACGTAATCCAATGTGGACCCACTCGGAACAATGCAGTGTGTTCAGAGGCAAAGAGAGGGTCTGGCTAATTTGCACACGGACCTGCATATATTTACATATACAAACAAGGCGCAACGGACGATGCAAATGAGGAGCCTCTGAATACATAAAGGAGTGACCTGTTATTAACCCCTCCCCCCCCAGCACCCTCTGGAAGGCACGCCCCCCTTCTTCCCTGAGGCCTGCTCGCAAGGGGCCTGGGAAAAGCACCAGTTGGGATCCAGAGGAGAGACGATCTCTCTCCACTGTGTTCAGCCAGCCCTTACCAACAAGAACCTCCTGGTCACTTCTCGGGGCGTTGCAATCTACAATGAAAACTCCTCCACACATCTGGCTCAGGTATTCTCCTCTCAGAGCACACAACGATGACCCTTCCCCTCCCAAGACCAAAAGAGCCCCTCCCCCCCTCAAAATCCAAGGAGACAGCCAGTTAAAGGCAATGCTACAGAACTTCCCACCCCTGGCACGGCATTGTTCCCACGACAGACGGACGGACGACTGTTTTCGTTTCCAGCTTGGTTTCCCCCTCACACAAAACAGGCTTGCTGCTGGAAGGTTATGAAGAACATGAGGGAAAGTCCGGGGGGGAGGGGGGGCATGCAAGAAGCGGAACACAAAGTGCTGAGAAGGGGCCACCCTGCCAGAACCAGCTCCAAAACCCAGGGCTCTTCTGACACGACGGCCACGCAGCCGCCCACCGGAAGGGGCCCTCCCAGCTGCCCATCTTTCCTCCCTAGACTGTCCCCAGCGAGGCCTCCCCCCACATGCCACTCAGCGTCACAGTCCTCTCGAGCCACAAGGCAGGAAGTGTGAATGGTTCACCTGCACAAAGGCAGGGAAGACGCCCTCGGTTCCCACCCTCCCATCACAAACCACAACACTTTCCAGAGAATTGAGGGGACATAAAATTTAGAACTTTAATTTTTTTTAAAAAAGAAAAGCTTGCAGGTAAAAGGGGCACTTCTTGATTTGCATTTCTTATCTGCATATTCAAATAAGAAGCCTTGCTGCATTATTAGAGAAGGCAATAAAGAAAACAGGCAAGCCCTGAGGAGTCTGGTTCCATAAAGGTGTCCGACCCGCACGACATGGACACAAGCGACACGAACAGCACCTTCCTCGTCTGCTCAGGGCAGTGATTGGGAAAGGGCAGTGTACGAAACAGGGCAAGCCCCCCCGCCCCCCTCTTCCCCCGACACTCAGCCCCCATTGGCCACACGCGCCCCCCTCCATAACGCTAGAGCCAGAGAAGTCCTCAGTCACCCCTTCCTCTGGCCAGCCTCCATTCCAGCCACTTCCTGCTCTCAAGGCCTCCCCCTTTCCTGCCCCAGCTGGTGTGAGAAAGCTCAGAGACGTGAGATCTCCCTTCGGCACCCCTCCCACCCCCTCCCCTCGCACCGTTACAACATTTAAGAAAGAACATAATGATTACAGACTTTCAAGATCCACAAGGCTCTCTCAGTCTTGCAGCCAATACAACAGAGTCACGGACCACCCGGAAGGGGCAGGGGGATCGCTCAACACAAGCTGCCCTCCGGGACTCCTCTCACGGCACCACAATAACAGTCTTCCAGCCCCCTCCCTCAGAAGCTGCCAGGCAGCCTGTCAAATTCGAGGCCAGGAGATGGAGTGGAGGGGCTGTGCACAATTATGGATAATAATAATAATAAGAAGAACAAACTAAAGAAAAAAAGGAGGGCAAAACAGGGCATCAGGAAGGATTATCTTCGGCAGCATCTTGCAGCAGCTTCTCTGGCGGAAGGAGAGACTATATACCTATATACAGGCAAGGCAGAGAGGCTGAGGGTGTTGGCCCTGCGACTGAGCGTGCCCCCCCATCCAGACTCCCCTTCCCACACCCTATGCAAGGGACATGCGGTCAAGTCTGTAACTTGCTAGGTGATCAAATCCCAGTTGAAATCATCAGGGATTTCCTCACTGGCGCCCGGAGGTGGCCGCGGAACCAGATGATGACCTGAATACATGGAGGGGAAAAGAGAAGAAAATGGGGATTTGTGCTGAAAACTGCTCAGAGCCTCTGGGAGGACACAGCATTCTTTGATGCCCAACCCCTCCCCCCAATCATGCATCAGGTGAACCACAATCCTGCTCCAAAAATTATACAAGAAAAGAATTAATTGCTATCAATAATTTCCACCCTGCAAACTAGTTTTTCTAGTTGTGCACATTCTGAAAATGCCTTGGCTCTTTAAATACAGCCCGGATTCACAGGATATCTAAATAATGGGGGGGGGGGACACGACCATTTATGGCCCTTGTAGGGCAGGGGGGTGTCAAACCCAGGGTCCACAGGGTCACAGCAAACTGGGCACCAGTCTGCAGGTTGAACACCTGGGGATTAATTGCAGCTGGGCTGCCCATCTCCTGCCCAGAGACACCAGCGGCGGCGCGCTTATGGGGGGGGGGAGGAGGATCTCCCTCACCCTTGCTGTGACGGAGAGGCTGGCCTCGGAAGACACACACACACACAGATGTGAAAAGGGCTGTAAACCCTTTTTGCTGCTGCAGGAAGGAAACCTGTATTTTATTACGACAGAGGTCAGGGAAAGCAGGGACGTTTGCAGTCCCCTTTCAGGAGGGAATGATGCGCACAGGGTCTGTACATTCTCCATCGGCAAGCACTAAAGAGCAGTGGGGCCCCTTGACCAATACAGAGCTGGGATGCCCTCCACAGAGACACACACTGCTGGTCAGAGAAGAGTTTGGAAAAGTTTGGAAAATGCGGTGGGGAGACACCCCCTGGGGTGGAACGAAGAGCACCCTCTGTCCTGCCAAGCTCATCCTGGGGGGCGGAGGGAGAGGCGGAGGATACGAACAGACCTCGGTCACACTAATTCCAGTGTGGGGTAGCTAATATTTCTCTTCCTGGTTTATTTCCTAGAAAAACGTACCTTTGCAAGCCAACATTTCCTAGTTCATCTGTGTTGATATTTTGAATAATTAAATAAACTCCTTTCCTTAAAGGGTGCATGAATGAACCCACTAGTTAAAAGGCTGCTTGGACTACCTACTGATATTCTGCTTCCTGATGGGTAAAGGCATTAAGAGGTTATTTTTGAGAGTAGATTATTGAGGTACCTTGAGTTTCTACCTGAACCCCCCAAAATCTCAGTAAGGGTTTGGAGAGAAAAGAGAAAAACCCAAATGGGGTTGGAATTTCTTAAGAGCACACATCCTTGAGGCAACTCATCTCTTTTGGCCACCTGCTATCTTAGAACAAGGGACAGGAGGGGGGAGGGAGAGTGAGGAACTGGACCAAAGAAGATAATAAAACCACAAAATAAGATAAACAGCTACTGATGAATGTGGCAATTGTCTGATGCTTGTTATGTTCATCAGAAGCTGTTTCGTTTCCTAATTATTTAACTATACAGAAGAATAAATAGCTTCTCCTTTGAATAAATCTTTTTAGCACTAATAAAATACCAAACAATTTTAGCCTTTGAGATAGATACAGAAAATCAAATTTTAGAAAAGTGAAAACAGAAACACTCTTAATGACAACTGCAGGAAGAAAACTATTCCAAGGGGGCTGAGAATGAGGAAGGACCCAGGTTACTTTCCATACAATGAGAATTTCAGGGGAAGGTGGTTTGCCATTTTAAACAAATGTTCCATGGATCTCATAACCTTCTTATTTGAAACATCAGTGGAGGAAATTAACACGACCGGAGCCAGTGCAGCTTAAGGAAAGGATTCTGATGAATGACAGAACATTCGGGGAGAAAGTCACCATGTTGGAGAAGGAAACTGAAATGCAATTTTTGAATTAAAGGTGACTTAACTGTGCTATCCTAAAAACACCTTCCTGGGAGCAAGCCCCACTGAATAGAGCAGGATTTTGAGTAGACCTCTGAGATGGACTGCACTTTTAAAAGCTCAGAAGTGCTGTACAAACAGGTAAAGGACTGTGAAGTGCAGTCCGTCACAACCTCCTTAGGAACAGTGGTTATTTGGGGCAGGAATTATTATATTAAGGAGGCAAACAGACAGCTGGGTAATAATTTGCACTAAAGAATTAGCATGAGAGAGAGCCTACATTCACAATGAGAACAGAAATGGTGTTTAGAAGGCTCTATTATGAAAACTGTATATGAATTCTTGTTGGAACTGGAAGGCAGAATTCCACAGTTCTATTTGTTACCTAAAAGTTACAAGAAAGACTACTGCAGTGCTGGCTAAGCTGACTGTGTCCGGTTGCAGATCCATACTTGAACCACCAGCTACATATTTTTAGAGGAGTTCTTAAAACTCTTTGTGCCAAAAATTAAATCTTACTGTTAAGAATACTGTGGATTTTCTTAAATGTATAAGCAGTATTCAGACAGGGACAGAGGTTCAGAAGAAGGGATGGTGTTTTTGTAATGTTATCTCCCTCTATACAAATATACTGGAGCATTAAAGGTGACTGAATACACTTTAAACTTGAAAGAAGATATACAACATCCCCCTACACAATCCCTTTGTCATATAGCTGAGTATGGGGGGGGGGCGGGGGGGGGGGGGGGGATTTAATTCCAGGACAAATTTTGTTGGCAAATCTCAGGTACAGCAAAGGGATGAAAATTCACCCCTCAACTTGCTAATGTGTTTATGGGTAGATTTGAAGAGAGATACATTTTCCTTGGCAACAACATATCATTATATATAAACACTTTTTGGATGATATCTTTATAATAAGGGAGGGATCACAAGAACTGGTTTTTATAGCCTGGACAATTTGTCTATACTATTCATGATAGTATAACATTCAAAATGACTTTTGATAAGTTCAAGAATCATTTCCTTGATGAAGGTTAGGGTAGGACTGACCATCAGCACTGATTTATATAAGAGAACCAACTGAGGCCAGTTTTTTCTCGTCTTGTGATGTCATTTGAAAAAGAATTTACCCTATGCACAGATGCTAATTGTAGTGATAATAAGGATTTCTATAGGCAGGCAAGGATTTCAGAGGCACAAGCTAGAAATACCAATAGGACAGCATTACTTACAGCTATAATAATAATAATAATAATAATAATAATAATAATAATAATAATAATAATAATAATAATAATAATAATAATAATAATAATAATAATAATAATAATAATAATAATAATAATAATAATAATAATAATAATAATAATAATAATAATAATAATAATAATAATAATAATAATAATAATAATAATAATAATAATAATAATAATAATAATAATAATAATAATCTAAATAGATAGGATGCCTATCCCATTGATATACAATAATACAAGTACATTCAAGGTGATTTGCAAAAATATTGTTTCTTTAAATATCTATTTATTATTTCTATTTATATCCCGCCCTTCCTGCAAGCGGGCTCAGAGCGGCTCACAACAACAGATTCCAATACAATCTTAAAATAATTCAATCTATCTGACATTCCCAAATGTAAATAATATCCTTTGTTTACTTACAAATGTTCAAGGAATTTGAGGGATATGTCAGTATATAGTAAAGTGGAGAAAATGCCTTTGGCTGGACCTCCTCTAGGTGGAAGCCTTCCAAAGGGTAGTTTACTCCTGTGGCCAGTACTGTGTTTGCAACAACAGTATTCGGACTGGTACATTTTAGGATTCACTGGATACTGGGAGTCCCCTGTACTGAAGCATTCGTTAACTGTTCATTCCAAAAGCATGGTACAATGGTTGTGAAACGTCCTTGTAGTCTCATGTACGTGGGAATGACCAGTAGAGCCATTAAGACCAGAATATGCGAACACAAATCTTACATCGATCTGGGAAGACTGCCAGTGCCGTTTTTAAATATCAGGGCGCTCCAAACCACAGCTGAAAAGAAGGGAAGCACCTTGCACAGTAGCGCCCGGGGGGTTTGAATGAGGATTTAAACTGGAGTCCTCTTCTGTAAGCTGCTTCGTATCTTGGCACTAGTGGATCTGCTTGCCCATTAGGAGACCTTCCCTCTGAGGAGTACGGGAGCCTTCCTCCCCTGACGTGGCCTGCATGGATCTGCAACGGCCTCTGAGCAGTGAGTCTCCCCAATACTTCGCTGCCCCGGTCTCTGAGCAGGACCCGTCCAGTGGGTCTGGGATGCCACTGGATGCTCACACAAATATCATCCTACCCATCTGTTGACTGGGTATGGCTGGATGTTGGGGTGGGGTGGAATACAGTTATATTAACTTTCTTGGCTGGAGGCTCCCCCAAGGGAGATGGGCTGTTTGGGCAGGGCCCCAGAGATGCGAGTGTCCACCATTTCCCCTCTGGCCAGACAACCAGGGTGGGCAAACCCCCGACAACCCCACCAAAAGGGGGGCTAGAGGACCAGTCCTCCTTTCAGGAAAATAAATGATTGTTAGTGTGGCAAGAACTGCTCTGGCAAATGGCCCAGAAGGCAATGGGCTACAAGGCCATGTGACAACTGGTGTCCTTCCCCCTCTGTAGCCGGCGCCCAGTGCTGCAGAGCTGAGGCTGCCTGAGGCCAGAGAGCAAGCTGCTCCTGGGTCTAGTCCCTCTTCAAGCCGGCCCGGCAATTCCGGCTGCTGGCGGCAGCTGCCCCACCCACAGCCGCCCTGGTGCGTCAGTGACCCTTCCTCTGCCCGGGAGGCTGCTGTCCTGCCTCTCGCTCCTGGCCGTGGAGCTGCTTTGCCACCCCTCCCCTCCCCTCCCCTTCTGTCTGGCGGCTCAGCCCACCCTCTCCAGGTGAGGCGGGCTGCTGAGGCAGGTCCCCAAGGAAGCAGGCACTGGCTGCTCTACCATGTGAAATCTCCAGAAATTCTGAAGCCGGGGGGGGGGGGGGGAAATTCTCTCCCCTCCCCCCCAGAACAAAATGAAAGTTTGGGGGAACATGAGAATATGTGCAATACTTACCTCCCTCTTAAATCTAAACCTGTTATTGGTTTAACATTAACATGCATAATTTACAACTCAATTAGCATATAAACCTATACTGTTAGGAATTCAAAAATATAAATAACTTTATTTTTAACAAGAAAAATGACAAGTATAGTCATACTTGAGAAAGCGTGTTGTTTTGGACAGAAACTCTCTCGCAGGGTCACAACAGGTAGGACTACCAGCACATTTGGGTATTAAGCAAATTTCATAACACTGAAAACACTGAACCCTTTAATAATGTCTAATCATTAAGACACATACAGCATATTAAGAGTTGTCAGAATTATTTAAACAAAAAAATCCTGAAGATATTGTACACATCTTCAAAATTTTTTACCAGTGATCCCCAAAATTTCCCATTTTTTCCACTGAAAAATTCATAAAGTCCTCAGATTCCCTCCCCCACATTTCCCCCTCACATATTTTGAGTGGGAGAAAATTTGCCTTATAAAGTATTTCTCTAAAAGAGAAAATATTACACAGGAGGGGTTTTTTCCCCAGCACTGCTCCGAATTTTCCAATTTTTCTGTCAGAAAACCTGAAAAGCAGTCCTCAGGAAAAAAATAATAATTTCCCACCCTGAACGTTTTTGGTCCCCCCCTCCCTCCCCCACGCACACCTTCATAACGCTAGGCCCGTCTCCTCCTGGCCAGGCAACAGCTGCAGCACACCAGGCCATTCCCTGATCTGTGCCACTGTCCTCCCCAGAGGAGCACGACAGCAGAGGTAAACACAAGTCAGCACCGAAAGAGGGCAGGGAGGGCTGCAGCCTCCGGGCCCAGTTCTTGTGGCCCTTTCTGACACGCCCAGGGAAATGCTGATGGCCCCTTTGGGGTCAGGAAGTGCTTTTTCTCCAGGCCAGTTTGGCCCCCAGTGATCCTGGAGGTTTTTGCCATCTTCTGGGCATGGAGTCACTGGGTGTGTGTGTGTGTGGGGGGGAGGTAGTTGTGAATTTCCTGCATTATGCAGGGGGCTGGACTAGATGACCCTGGAGACCCCTTCCAACTCTGTGATTCTAAGAAGTTCTTCAACATGTAGCCTTCAAAAGGTACTTCAAGACTGCTTCCTTACCTGGGCGATTATATGCTGGAGAGTCCTGGGTGGGCATCTGGTACATTGGAGATGGTCCAGAATAGAGATGCGGTGGCTGTGGCTGACCATAGGAGCTCACTAGCAGAGAAAGGGGGGGGGGGGGATAGTCAACATCCCCCGTGACTTGCGTGCAGCAAGGCAACAAGGGACACTCTCAATGGCTCCTCTGCATCCCGCATTGCCTCCTCTCCATAGCTTTATACTATGGCCACCTTTACAAAACGACTGCTCCTTCCCCAGGCACAGAGAAACCCCTTCCAGCAGCCTTTTTCTGATCAAAAGAGAAGAACCGTAATATACAGCTTAATTTTCTCTTCAGAAAGCATTGGTTTGTTTTGGATTGCTTTAGTTTCCTTTCTAGAGGTGAGCTCATTTCACTCCCTACCAGTCACCACACGTAGCGGTACCTCTTCCTCTTTCTCAAATTACAGGACCAAACCGGCATGCATTAGTTATTGTAGCTCTTAACACACTCTTCTCTTACTATCCTTTTGAAAGAGTGCTCGTCTATCTTTGCCAAGGAATCTGGAGAAATTATTATTCCGCCCTTTCCCCCCTCAATCACATACAAAGTTATTTCTGCCTGAAATAAGAACACACCAGTTCTTCTCTCTTCCCGTTTAGAATACCTGCCTTACCCGGTTGCCTGGAAGTACTTCTTGTGCCCCACAGGGGAATGGATTAGTATTTGTACTAGTCAGGTCATAGTTTCCTCCATCTCAGGCTAAGCCAGATGGGATTTAATTCTAAAGTCCAACAGCTAACCGTGGTGCTGGTGGAAAGTCCTGTCAAGCCACCCCTGACTGATGGCGACCCCTGGGGGGGCTGGCGTTCGGAGGTGGTCTGCCCCCTCCTGCCCGGGAGGCCTCCCCTCCTCCAAAGGCCAGCAGCCAGGGCCGGCCCTGCTTCGCTCCTGAGGAGACTGGGCTTGCCATCCAGATGTTGTTTGCAAGGCCTCCCCACAGACAGAGACAGGCCTGACCTTGAAATGCGGCTCAGCATGCACACCTCCTACAGGCAGGGTACTGTCGGACCTGCTTCACAACCCATCTCCCACAAATTTGAGCCCATCCAAGATGGCAACATTAGCTTTCACCACAGCAGCACTTGGCAGCACATTGCTCATGTAACACAGCCAGCCACTGTGAAGACAGCAAAGCCCCCGGGAATGCTGACTCCCCTCCCCTGCCCGTTGCATCTACTCCCCCCCAGCTCACTGGAGGGCCGGGAACAGGACGCAGGAGGGACCAAGGGGAGGCGAGATGTCAGGACCAGCCTGGAACGGAGACTGGGCAATGCGGAAGCACAAGATTTGCCCTGAAGGCTGCATCTCACGGGGGTTCAGCCCCCCCCCCGGGCCACGATGCCCCCCCGGCACGTCTCCAGGTCTGGCTCCCGCCCCCTCCCCTCCCAGAACACCCTCCTCCTCCGTACCTTGGTTCATGGGCTGCTCCTGCTTGCCACTGCTCATGGCGCAGGACTCGGAGATCCGGGAAGGGTGCTGTGGGCCTCCCAGGTGAGGGAGCTGGCCGGTCTGGGTAAGGAAGTGATTGAGGGAGTCACAGAGGTTGGCAATGTGATGCTGATCGAGGGTCCAGTTCTTACGCTCAGCTTGGCGCAGACTCTCCATCAACTCTGCAGAGGGTTGAGGAAGGGAGATCAGAAACTGTGGGTTGATGCTGCTTCCCCGCCCAAAAGCTCCTTCCCGACACTTCTGTCTTCATCCCTACAACAAGGAACACCAGAAGAGCCAGGGAGGGTCCATCCAGTCCAGCCTCCCGTCACACACGCAGGGGCCGGCCAGCTCCTCTGGAGGGCCAGCAACAGGCCAGAGAGGCCGAGGCCTTCCCCCTGGTGTGGCCTCCAGGCTCTGGGATGCAGAGGACTCGTGCCTCTGAACGTGGAGGCTCCCTTCAGTCACCACGGCGAGTAGCCACTGACAAGAGCTCTCCTCCATGAGTCTACCCAACCCCCTTTCCAAGCTGTCTGCTTCTACATCCTTCACCTTTTGCCCTTCCTAGTAGGGTGCAGGCTGAGAGACACCGGGCGAGAGGCCTAAGGGAGTGACGTGACACAACCAGCCACTTACCTGAGAACTGAGAGTGCTCAATGCTTGACCAGTTCAGTCGGTTCACCATCTTGAAGCTTTCCTTCAGGGAATCAATGTTGGAGCACCAGTCAGGGGGAAATGCTAGAGAACAGGGTGCAGAAGTCAGCTCAAAGGGCGCAATACCCCTCTCTCTCCCCCCCATCTCTTCTCTCAAAGGATATGAAGCATGTGGCACATTCACATTCTTAATAAAACCATGAACGACCCTTCCCCTCACAAGAGTGCCTTTGTTCACTGTACCAAAATGCTGCTCCTCTCTCTCGTGTAGTTTACATCGACACGAGAACCCCAAACCGGACTGGGGCGAAGGCCTCTTCCCTGGGAAGGAGAGAAGAAGCCAGCCCTGGGGGGCCCCTGGTTTTGCTTCCGTGGACTGAAGGGGCTACGAGATCTTGGCTTCGGGTTTCCAACAACATCTTAGCTCAGTCCCACTGGAGAACTTCCGGGAGCCCTTCACCACCAAAGTATTTTGGCTGTTGCTCTCAGCCAAACAGGTTGTGCAGAAGCCAAAAGCAGGCTCAGAGAACAGCTGTGCCACGGCTGGCTCTCGGGTGAGTGCATGCCCCATGCCGCCCCTTTTGGCAAACACAGACTGGCCGTGTCCCCACCCCCTTTACATCGGGGTCCCCAGCCGCTGGCACCTTTCCTGGCCTCCGCCAAGTGCTCTTAGGAAGTGGGCGGGGTCAGGCGGGGCTTTTGCCCAGCAGGGCTTCCGATTGGCCACTGGAGATCTGACTGGCTGTGCAGATTTTTAAAAATGTTGCTTTGACAGCAGCTGCCAGCCACAGCCCAGCACAAGGAGCTCCACTGTGTGACTGAAGGTGTGTGCAAGGAAATATTTTTAAAGATGTTAAAAACGGACGATGGTCGGAGCTGCGGCGGTCGCGGGGCCGTGCACTGGAGGAGCCCGCCGGAGGAAGCCACGGAACAGGAAGAAATCTGCCCCAGGACATTGGAAGTGGAACGCCGACATCGGAGGCCGCTGGAAGAAGCCAGACTCCCAACAACAAGCCCTGCTGCCGGGTGCTGGTAGGAAGTCACCCCCCCGTATAATTGTGGCCTTAGTTAGGAACCAATGATTGTGTGTAAGCCGCTCAGAGACCCTTCGGGGTTCGAGCGGGGTATAAATTGAATGATAAATAAATAAATACATGTCATCCTGTTGAGCAGAGCTTCCGCCTAAAACAGTGACCAGCTGTCACTCAAGTTGCGCATGACCACCCCACTCCCGCAGGTTTTGTTGGCTCCATCCCCTGCGGCAGCCCTTTTGCCGCTGGCCCCACCTCTTCTGGCAGCCGTTTTGCCGTTGGCCCCACCACCCCGTGTCAGAATTCCAAAGGTGCTGACAGGTTCAAAAAGGTCGGGGACCCCGGCATGACGTCTTGGATGCACTCAGAAACGGAATGTGTGGTGTGCCCTGGGATTCCTCTGACAGACAGGCTGGCAAAGAAAAGCAGGAGTCCTAAATCCTGGGCAGATGCGCAGCCCCATCTGTCCTCTTCTGTTGCCGTCATCTGCCCTGTAACTCACCAAAGCTAGCACTATTGATGGAAGCCTGCGATTGCTGCTGTTGCTGCTGCTGCTGCGAATGGGCGTGTGGGTGGTGCTGCGGGTGCTGGTGGTATCCTCCATGCTGCATGGGAGAGGGGTGAATGGACATCACAGGCGGGGGGCCATAGTTCTCACTCGCTTGCTGCTTGCCACCCTGGGATGGGCAGCCCTCTGGGGCTGGCGTGTGGAGGGAAGGTGCAGCCCCCACTGCAGAGGGCATCTGCTGCTGCTGCTGCTGGTACATGTAGTAGTTGTGATTGGAGGGCTGCATGTCACCCAGGAGGGAAGAGAAATCTGGAGAGCAGAATGTAGAGGAGAACGTTAAAGGGCGAGGCCACCGGGAGAGGCCAGCGGGAGGTGTGGGGCTGCAATGTCTCACCGATATGCGGATGACACCCAGATCTACCTCTCTTTCCCACATAATTCTTTTTTTTAAAATTATTTTTAACATACAAACAACAGTATGTAACAGGTTAACAACAATTAAGAGAGAATACTGCAAACGATATTTACATAACATCTGTGTAACGAACATATTGCATGGCTGAATTATACTTTAGTCAGTGGTTTTTTCACAGGGGTCTCACTAATTTCAAAAATATAATAGTTTTGTAAAGGGTTCATTTCTTGGAATGATTTCACCTTCAGCAAGGTACTGGACTACTGGGAACCAAATTGCTTGGAATTTTTTTGCATTCTCTTGTTTCCCACATAATTCCAAAGATGCTGTTTATGTTCTGAGCCGGTGCTTGTAGTAATGGGCTGGATGAAGGGGAACAAGCTGAAACTTAGTCCTGACTAGACAGAGTTTCTCTGGGTTAGCTGAAAAGCAGCAAGAAAATAAAGAGATGAAAAAATAAGGCCGATGGTGCAAAATCAGGAAAAAAAAAACTTATTACTCAGTTAAGTTTCCGAAAATTCCCTAAGCATTTTGCCAACAGGCTTCGTCTTGCAGTCTCCTTCGAAAAGAGCTACTGACCTTTTACATTTTCTGAAGAATGACTGCAAGACAAACAGATTCCTCTTGACGAAGCCTGCTGGTAAAACGTGTAGGGCATTTTGGGGGAATTTTAACTGGGTCATAAAACATATTTCCCCCTGATTTTGCACTATTACCTGACCAGGGACTTGAGATCTCTCCTGTCTCGGATGGGATTACGGTGGCGGAAAGTGCTGTCCCGTCGCAGCCGACTTACGGCAACCCTTGGTGGTGGTGGTGGTGGTGGGGTTTTTTTCCCCAAGGCAAGAGACATTCAGAGGTGGGTTTGCCACGGTCTGCCTCCACGTCACAGCCCCAGTCTTCCCTGGAGGTCTCCCACCCAAAGACTAGCCAGGACGGACCCTGCTTGGCTCCTCAGATCGGACGAGATCGGGCTAGCCGGGGCCGTCCGGGTCAGGGCACAGACAGGGGTAGACTCCTCTTGAAAAACCAGGCTCACCCCGCTTGGGAGTGCTGCATGACGTAGCCGTCCCCTTCGAAAACCAGGTGGCCGCCATTCTGCATCTGTTCCAAGTTCAGTCAGACCCACCCACAGTAATCCACGCCTTAGTTGCATCTGGTCTGGACTACTGCAATGTGCTCTTCTTGGGGCGACTCTTGGACAGTGTTCGGAAGCTGAAGCTAGTGCAGAATGCCGTGGCCGGGCCAGGTCAGGGCCAGCTCCTGGGATCATGCAGCCCTGCCACTACGGCAGCTACTACCACTGATCCGCTCCCGAGCCCAATTAAAGGTGTTGGTTTTATCCTTACAACCTGACATGGCTCAGGGCCAAGGTATCTTCTCCCATACATTCCTGCCCGGGAGGCGGGGGGGGGGGACCCCGTCTGGACTGTCCACCAATCGAAAGACATCTGCGGGTGGGCCTTTTCCACCTCAGAGGAGGTGGAGCCTTCCAGGAGGCTAGGGAAGACCGCTTTACTTAGGACTACATCTGAGCCATTCTGGTTTTTACTTATTAGCACTCCTAATTGAGATTTTAAAGTGTGGTCTTTTATGTATTTTTTATCAATGTTGTTTTATTTACTTTGATTTATGTAAGGTAGAAAATTGATAATAAATGTTATAAATAAAATAATAAATTAAAGAAAGCAAGAGAGCAAATCCGAGTGATGACCAGCTCCGCAGCTGCTCTTTCCCAGAAGTGTGAAGGTCGCCTTCTCTGCAGCCCCGGCCACCACGAGGCCAGACATCGGAGCGCCACCAGAGCAACGGCCCCGTTTCTCAGGGCAGTGCTGCCCTCCCCCTCCAGCCTCCAGAGGAGCTGAGGCCCACAAACTGGCCAGCCTTTTCTCTGCATGACAATCAGGCAGCCAAAAAACACCACAGCCGGCCTGAGATCCTGCACTCCAGCAACACACTGGCTCTTTGCCCCGCTAGTTCATGAGCCTTTCATTTTCCCTACTTCCCAGGCAAACCAAAAAAATATTCCTCCTTCAAAAATCAAGAAAATGTTAGCATTATTGTATTGTAAATATGATCCTGGACTTCCTTGCAGTTGGACCTATAGTTCCTTACTAGTTTTGATCAAAAGAATTAAAGAATGGTACAATCTGTTAGAACAGCATCAGCCTTCGAGAAGTGTGAGCAGTGTGTGTGAACAAGATCTTGGGGTACGGGTGGACCAAAAGTTAAATATGAGCAGCCAGTGTGATGCAGCAACAAAAAAGGCTAATGCAATCTTGGGGTGTACCAACACAGGCATAACATCCAAATCACAAGATGTCATAGTCCCGGTGTACACTGCCTTGGTCAAGCCGCACCTGGAGTATTGTGTGCAGTTCTGGAGGCCTCACTTCAAAAAGGATGTGGACAGAATGGAGCTGGTGCAGAGGAGAGCGATGAGGATGATCAGGGGCCTGGAGACCAAGAAGCCCTGCGAGGAAAGGCTGAGGGATTTCTTGTGAATGTTTAGTCTGGAGAGCAGGAGGTTGGGGGGGGGGGACCTGACTGCTCTCTTGAAGTCTTGGAAGGGCTGTCTCACTTAGAGGAGGGCAGGGAGCTGTTCCTGTGGGCAACAGAGGAGAGGAGGACTCGCAAGGATGGGTTTAAAGTAAGGGTTGGATCTGAGGGAAAACTTTTTGACAGTCAGAGTCGTGCAAGAGTGGAATGGGCCGCCTGGGGAGGTGGGGAGCTCCCCCTTCTCACCGGCAGTCTTCAAGCAGCGGCTGGACAAGCACTTCTTCTCAGGGGTGCTCTAGGGCTGGTCCTGCACAGAGCAGAGGGGCGGGACTGGATGACCTGCCGGGCCCCTCCCAACTCTGTGAAATCCTTGCTTCTATAAGGCCCCAGCACAGACAAGGAGCTGCTTCAACCAACATGCCACACTGGCTCTTGGAGTCACCCTGCCCAGGGCAAGAAGAAGAGGGAGGGGAGAGCCCCCCCCCCCGTGCTGCCCTGCCATGTGGGCACCCGCGGGTGAACGAGGGGGAGGAGGAAGTGGCCCCCCCCCCCCGTGCTGCCCAGCCCGGTGGGCACCCGCGGGTGAACGAGGGGGAGGAGGAAGTGCTGTCCTCCTCCCCCAGCCCGGCCCGGCCCAACCCGGCCCGGCGCTCTTACCATGCTGGGAGGAGGAGGAGGATTTCTCAAGCATTGATTTGTACAGGTGAACCCGCGGGTGAACGAGGGGGAGGAGGAAGTGCTGCCCTCCTCCCCCGGCCCAACCCGGCCCGGCGCTCTTACCATGCTGGGAGGAGGAGGAGGATTTCTCAAGCATTGATTTGTACAGGTTCCGGAATGACCAGCTCAGATCCTGGAAGTTGATCTCGGAGTAGGAGAACTTCAGGTCATGGCTGGCGTTGTAGTGGGGCGGCGGCACCTCCGTTCCTTCGCGGCCCTGCCCTCCAGCCACGGTGGCTGCCACGTCGACCGGCCCTGCGCCCTGCACGGGACAAGGGGGAGGGGGGCGTCAAACACAGCTTTCAGCAGCCCGCCTCCTCTAGGGGCTTCCTGCACAGCCCCTGCTCCAGCCCGTTCCACGGGCTGATGGGCCCCCGCACTCTCAGAGGTGTGCCTCGGCAGTCCCGGGCAGTGTGCCACAAGGCCCCAGGGAGGCAATGCCAGGAAGCGGCCTGGCACACAGGGGATGTTTCGAGGGTCTTCTGCAGCCCGGCCTGGCCGCCGGCTCCGTCCCTGGGCTCCACCCCCTTTCAACCCACTTCTCTTCCCTGCGTATGTGGGTGCGTGCACGTGTGCACACACTCAAAATCCCAGCCATCCAACTGATGCAGAAGCAGCAAAGAAAAACCTTTTATCTGCCTCTTTTGCACTGACCGGGTGGCTCCAGTTTCATGCCCGCAGGGGCACGTACGGACCCTCCAGGCCCTCCGGACGGACACAGCCAGCACCTGCGGGTGCCTGTCGGGGGTGGCCAGGGCAGGATGCTGCTGGAACAATCTTCGCTAGTCCTTAAGGCGTCACTAAACTTTTGTGCCTTTAACAATCCTGGCATGAAGTAATTAAGCAGGTAAAGCTATTTTGGATGTGGAAAAGCTTTGCCTAGTTAATTTTTTTCAATACAGCCTGCTGTTAAAGGCATCAGAACAGGACTACTCAGGAGGCAAGGTTGGATGGCACATGATCCTGCAACCATCCTAAAGCTCAGCAGAACTGCTCTGCCTGAGGCAGTGGGGCATTTGGGGGCCTGACTTACATCAAAGGCCCCTTCAAGTCCCCCCCCCTCGACTCTGTCCCCAATAAAGAGGTGGCCTCGGCCAAGCTCCCCGTCCCCATTCCCTGCCACTCGTGCTCCCGGCCTGCCCCAAGTTGCGCTCGTCGCTTGGATCTCTGGAGTCCATGGCGGCGCCTGTCCAGTTGCACAGAGGCGCCTCTTAGGTGGGCGGCGGCCGCAGGGCTCCTCCTGCAAGGAAGTAGCCCCAGAGGGGCGGCGCCATTTTGCCGGCTGCTTCCTCTGAGTGGAGGGTGTGGCAGAGCACCCGGGGACGTCCCCGTGCAGAGCAGGACTCCCTCCCCGCCCTTCGGGCCCCCCCCCCCCGGGGTCCACAGGGCTGGCCGGCTGGCCAGCCAGCCGGGGTGGGTGTTGTGGTTAGGAGCTTGGCCCGCCTTGTGGCCCTCCTGTGGCGTCTCAATCGCTCCCTATGCCGCCAGTGCCTCCCCCGGAGAGAAGGTCCCGAACTGTGCAGGTGAAGTGGGGCCCAGGGTCTGTCCTGGCAGTGCACAGCAGGTGTGCTCGTGCACAGGGGGAGACAATGACTTGCGTCAAAGTCAGCAGGCAGCGACCAAACTGGAGGCCCCAGCCAGCCGGGCACCCGCATGAGAGAGCACCAGGTATCCTCCTCCGCCCCCCCCCCCACACTTGGCAGCTGAGGCAAGTTGTCTTATTGCGCGGGGTAAAGAAAAAGCCCTTTGGAACATTGCATTTCTAAGAAAGGGGGGTGGGGAGCTCAGAGAACCAACTGCAGCCGACCTTTGAAAGACGCACACAATCTGCTATTTTAAATCCTTTCTGCTATTTTAAATCTTTCCTATCAACCCTAAAACTTTGATGGTCTTAAAGGTGGCCCTGGCCTGGACTCGAAACTTTGTCTCACACCCCCGCCCCCACACTGTGCAATTTGGTACATTCTTCTGTTCCGAACGGGAGCTGGAAAGGTCACAAGGACTTCTCCAGCCTCCTAGGTGAACATCTGAAACTCCTCCTCCTTCAGCGGCCTGGGACTTTGTCAGTGCAGCTAGCGTGGAGCTGGCCGGGGCGAAGGCGGAAGCACTCGGAGGCAGGAGGCAGGAGGGAAGCCTGGAGCCACCGCAGCTGCCTAAGGAACCTCTGAGGGCCATGGAGAGTTCCTGGGAGGAGGTCAGGGCTGGCTCCGGCCGTTTTGAAGGGGCACAGGGGTGTCTGGTGCCAGGCTCGTGGCGGGGGGGGGGGGGGGCACGGCGAGGAGTGAG